TCAAGTAGTGAGTTATGCTTTATTTATATTCTCTATTCTGAATATAAAACCACCATAATGCCATAAGTGTTATTTCAGAGGATTAAGAATCACCCACAGAGTGTTTTATAAATGACTTTTCTTGGGCGCAGACTTCTTTCATCAGGGCAATTGCTTCTGCAGTCCCAGTTCCAGTCCTCTCACCTTAGTCTAAGTCCAGCTCTTGTTGAAATCCCTGAGATTTCCTCTTTCGTCAAGGTTATTATCAGACCCCACGCTGCCTCTCTTGTCCCCCATGCCAGAACTGCTATTCAGGCATGCTCCTTGAGGCTGCTGGCTGTTTCCAGCCATTTCGAAGTGGGTGCCTGCATTTTGGTCCTGAGCTGGAAGGCAGACTCCCACCATGAGACTGCCTGCATGTATCCACTCCCAGCACATTTGCTTAGCCACTGGGTGAAGGATGCAGCTGCAGTCACTGGAGAGGGGAGACACACACTGTACAGCCAGCCCTTCGCTCTCTGGGTAAGCAGCCATGGCCTGAAGGTTCCATGCAATTAACCGCTCTAATTGTTTGGGCGGAGTTCAGACCACAGGAGCACTCCTCCATGTGGGTGGCGTCACTCCTTCCCTCCTTACTGGCATCCGAGTTATCTAAGCTGGAAGATTCGAGAGAGGATTTGGGCCAACAGATAATTATATTAAAGGATCCTTAATTCTGTCCCCTCTATGTTGTCTTGATGCATTAATCATGAAACTAATGACCTGACACAGTGTGTGTAAGCAATGTATGTGGGTGTTTATGGTGTCCTTTTAGAGGCATCTCCTCCTCCTGGGAGAAGAGAATCAAGAGAAGCTGTCTTGTAAAACTGCTGTCCCTCAGGATATAAACGGGATCACAGCCAAAATTCAGACATTCCCTATTACCCTTGCTTACCCAGTCCCCAACACCCAAGTACCAACCAAGCAGAGCAGTCCTGCATCTCTCCTCATAAGGGTTTATTGCTATAGATTTATCAGATCTATACGGAGGCACTGAATGTGCACGGGTACCGATTTATTTTGATAGGATGAGGCAGGAAATGCTTTCTTCCCATGAATGGGTAGGCAGCTGTCTTAGCTGATGCTGACAACTTGCTTGTGCGTGACCTGTGCTGAAACCGAAGTGCGCACAGGAGGGGCATCTATTCTTCTACACAAACTACGCTTTGGATTCAAGACTCGCGGAGAAAAGGGACAATGATGACATGTGCTGTGTGTGGTTAGCACCTTGTAAACAATTTCTTCACTTGAGAGAAGAGTAAATTTTTGCATCCCAGATTTGGGACATTGGAGAAGACTTCAGAAGTCCACAAACCAGATGCAGTTCTCTAGGGTGCTGTGTTGGCTGTAACAGAGCCACAGCAGTCAGCATGCAGGCAACTGATGGGAGCTCTTGCCCAGTGGAGAACACGCTGGCAAACAGTAATCACAGCCAGCCCTAAAACCAACTTACTGTCTAGTCCACTAATACATTGATTTTTATGCAGAGATCAGTTCTAGGGCCAGTCCTGTTTAATATCTTTATCAACAACCTGGACGAGGGGATGGAGTGAACCCTCAGTAAGTTTGCAGATGACACCAAACTGGGTGGGAGTGTTGATCTGCTCGAGGGGAGGAGGGCTCTGCAAAGGGACCTGGACAGGCTGGATCGATGGGCCAAGGCCAGCTGTATGAGGTTCAACAAGGCCAAGTGCCGGGTCCTGCACTTGGGTCACAACAGCCCCATGCAACGCTACAGGCTTGGGGAAGGGTGGCTGGAAAGCTGCCTGGTGGAAAAGGACCTGGGGGTACTGGTTGACAGCCAACTGAATATGAGCCAGCAGTGTGCCCAGGTGGCCAAGAAGGCCAATGGCATCCTGGCTTGTATCAGGAATAGTGTGGCCAGCAGGACAAGGGAAGCGATCGTGCCCCGTACTTGGCACTGGTAAGGCCACACCTCAAATACTGTGTTCAGTTTTGGGCCCCTCACTACAAGAAGGACATTGAGGTGCTGGAGCATGTCCAGAGAAGGGCAACAAAGCTGGTGAGGGGGCTGGAGCACAAGTCTTGTGAGGATCGGCTGAGGGAACTGGGGTTGGTCAGCCTGGAGAAGAGGAGGCTGAGGGGAGACCTTATCACGCGCTGCAACTGCCTCAAAGGAGGCTGTAGTGAGGTGGGGGTCGGCCTCTTCTCCCAAGTAACAAGTGATAGGACAAGGGGAAATAGTCTGAAGTTGTGCCAGGGTAGGTTTAGGTTGGACATTAGGAAAAATTTCTTCCCTGAAAGGGTTGTCAAGCACTGGAACGGGCTGCCCAGCAAAATGGTGGAGTCCCCATCCCTGGAGGTATTTAAAAGCCGGGCAGACGAGGTGCTTAGGGACACAGTTTAGTGGTGGGATGGCAGGGTTAGGTTAACGGTTGGACTTGATGATCTTAAAGGTCTTTTCCAACCTAAACGATTCTATGATTCTAGATTTTAGGCTACGGTGTCAGAGAAAGCGGTATTCTGTACTTAACACGTGTGATCTCATAGGTCATGAACGCTGTGCAATTACATGAGCACTACTTACCAGTAGTTTACACAGCATTTGTTAGTTGTTGTTGTTATCCCTCCCAAGAGATTACTGCTATTGCTGTCTGTAGGTTGTGACTTACAGTAATGTAATCATCTGAAAAGCCTGGATTTGTTAAGCTTCTCAGATAATACAAAACCAAGTCAAGCAATATTTAGAGATGCCAAATAGACTTAAACAAAATGTTTTTCTTACCTTAAGATGTATTATTTTACTGTGTCCTACCCATCCACTCTCCAACAGGCAGAGAAAAGTGGTTTTTAAGTGGGGGGGACATACTAAAATGAGAATAATATGAAGGCATTTCTGTGAATTCTAGTATTAGTGGTATCACCACCTTAGCGTGACCAAAATGTTCAGTAACAGTACAGATACCAATTGAATCTTCTTGTTTAAAAGAGCACTAAGTCAGGGTTTTTCTCCCAGAACCTGACATCAAGTCTGTGGAAGTCTTCTTCCCTGAAGTGATACGGAAAGAAAAACTACATGCTATTTTTGTCTCGAGTATGTAAACCACATACATTGTTAGAGGCCTTAAAACCCATTGGTCAGTTTTCTAGTAATAAATTTTTGTTATATTATTAAAAATTACTTAGCCCTTCAGGAAAAAGATTGTAATCCTGGAGGGAGCTTGAGCTTTTTTTCTTAACAGAGTGGACTTACAAAACTTTTTTGACCTTATACTAGTTCATTTTTACTTTGATGTTCTTCCCCAGTAGAAAGCCCTCCCCTTCGCTTACCTTCATTTCCTTTTGCTTTGGTGGGGTTTGACACTTACAGGCCCTTGTCAGAGGAGATCACGGCACATCTCCCTGCATGTGCCTGCTACTCCTGTCCTCCATGGAAGCTCATACACAGCAACTCCATAGGGATCCAGAACTCTATGATGGGAGAAAGCTGGGAAACACAGGACAGTGAAATGCAGGGGATTCTGAAATGAGCTCGCTCAAGGCCTCTCTGTACTGAATTTTGCTGCTTTCCAGCAAAATTGGGGCCAAGGTCCTCGTACAGATGCGGCAGAGGGCAGGACTGGGGCAGGCAGTTTCCATGGGTACAGACCTGCTGTGCAAACCAGCAGGTGAATAATTGGGGCAGGAGCCCTGGAGCTCCAGCATCCCGCTCTCCCGTCCCCTAGAGAGGGTGGGAAGGTGGATGCAGGAGCTACTGCTGTTGAGAGCTTCGGTCCCCTCACGGCCCCCTTCCCTTGGGAGCAGCTGGCCCCCCCAGCCCTACAGCCCCACGCAACCCAGTGCCTGCCCTGCTGCAGCACAGCAGCCTTCCAGCACCCCGGCTTTGGCCATGCTTGGGCAGTGCAGCTACAATAGTTTTGCTGCCCTGGGCCCGGCAGCTGCAGAGGCAGTTGCCTGCTTTGCCCAGGCCCAGAGAGCAAGCAGATCCACCCAAAGCATGGGGTAAACACAAGTTACCGCAGTCTTCAAAAAAAGAACCAGAGAACCCCACAGTAAACCGGAGGCGAGTCCCCACCTCCTGTGTCTGCTGGCCCAGCAGCGTTTGGGGCAGGCAGCTGCACAGGAAAGCAGGAGCTTGGCCTCTGGTGAACATCCTCGTTCTTTCTGAGGGATAGTACAGACGAGGCAAGGAAAATGCACTTTCCACCCACCAAACCAACTAAGGGTAAAGCTGTGCCATGCGGACTGTGCCTTGCGAGTTGCTGGACAAGCTCACCTCCCGTTAAGGTCCGTGGGATTTCTGCGGGAGCTTAGCAACTGGTGCGCTGTGAGCTGTTACAGGGGTAACGGGAGGGGGGTGACGGGGAACATATTAATGCAAAGTGCATGTGAGGCTGAAGCCATCTGTGGTCATTAAGTAACTAATGCATTCAGGTGATACTTCACAGACAGTAATGGTTCTACTTGAAGAAATTAGTCCTTAACCCTGACTGCTGGCTTTCTGCTTTACAGATGTGGCAGTACTATTAGTCAAAATACATTCTCCCCAAGTCTGAAATGGTTTGTGTAGCTGCTTCTCTTTTCAAATGCCTTTCTTTTGTGCTCTTCACAGTTTAAATTCAAGTTATTTATGTTTATCTAGATAACACCCCGTAAATACCTTTAAATATAAATGTACTCCTCAATTTTCACTTCTTCTACAGCTGGCAATAAAATATACTTTAAAACTACTCCATGGCACAGACTAGCTCTTCACTTATCCATATTTTCTCTTCTACGCAGCAAGGTAAGTATTGCTCAGTTCTCTCACAGAAGGCACTGATGAGAGCAGCAGGTCCCCACGCTGTTCCCAAAAAGAACCTAGTCGGACTGAACAATGTTGTACATGTTGGCTGCTAGATCTTTTCTGTCCTCAGCTTCCTGCCAAAACAAATTTGATTTGATTGTTCCACACAGTAGACTGTTGTTGATCAACGCAAGGCTGAATGGTGCCGGTGGCTGACTCATCACTCTTGGCTTGACTACTGCACAGCCTAATGAGTAAAAGCGAGGTACTACCGACTAAGAAAAAAGGGCCAGTAGCAAACAAAGGGAGAAACAAGGATAGAAAAGGCAATCTAGCAGCCATCATATGGGCAGAAAACATTGAGAGAAGAGTTGCTAATGTTTTTGCCAAATCTAAGCTCTATTTACTTTTCTAATGCCAATTGATGCAGTAGGGCGCTTAGGTTTTGAAAACGGAATGCATCAACACTGTGTGGTAGAAATTAGCTGAGAAGCAACGTCTTAATATACAGTGCAGGGGTGCGTGGAGCACTTCTGATGGTGAGGGAGCCTGGGTTCCTAAACAGTCATTCCCAAAGAACGTTAAAAATATTTGTAGGAGAAAAAAAGCTAGTGAAATACCATTTTCTGAGTTGCTGTCTGCTTATTTGAAGCATAAATGATCGTACAGCATTTCTATGTGTTTTCTTTTCATATCAATGTTAAGCTTATCTTATAAACACATCTTTAGTACGTAAAGTAAGTTAAAAACATCCATTCTAAAACTCGGATGCGAAGAGAATGTGGCTTGGATGCTTACTGGCATGAAGAGAGATATCCTGTCTTATTCTTTTTTGTTCTGTGATACAGTTGTAGCATTATCTGGTATCCAGGGCTTTGAAGGATCTATTGTAAGCACGTCAAAGACTTTTTAAATTACTTTAGTTTTGTAAATATTAGATCACAAAAACTGAGGACTGAGTCCCACAGACTTTCATTAAACAACGTGTCCCATTATTGTTTTTCCTGCTTCACAGCTGAAATTAAACTAGCATTAGTAATGCTCTGCATATCTATTCTTTCAATGAAAAAAAACCAAACCCTGTTCTAATAATTATCATGTCTATAGAAATGTGCATTCAAGATGCAGCTTAGAGATTAACTAGTCGCCACTGCCTGCTGCTTGTGCACTCAGAAGAGGTGTCTCGCAAAAGCTCCCACTGTCCATGACAGAGCTCAGGTGAGACAGGACTGCTGTCCTGTGATAAGTGTCTCACCTCCTTAGTGACCCAGGCAATCCGGGACTAACAAGCTATGGGACAAGTCTTCCACTTGGCAGTTCTGCATGTGGGAAGAGAGCATTCCCACAGCAAGTGGTAACTCGCTTAGCTGCCTTTCTGGCTAACACCCTCTGGCTCAGAGAGCTAAGGGAGGCAAGTGCCACAGCTACAGGGCAGTTGGTGGAGTATGGGAATGAAGGCCATGTGGCTGGAGGCTAGGAATGGCTGAGCCTGAACTTGGGGTCCAGATTAAAACTTGACAAGAGTCTAAAGCTGGGATAAAGATGCAGAAGTGAGAAGACAACGACTCAGTAGCTTGTCGTAAGAAAGAGGACAAAAAGAAATAATAGGCAGAAAAGCCTCTGCCCCCTTGCCCCTAGATCTAGTTTCAGGAAATCACAGTCTTGCTGATGTCAGCACGTACTTGTCAGTGCTCCCCCAGCAAGAGCTCAAACTCTCCTTCAGTCTCCTTCCTCTACAGGGGACAATATCTAGTTGCTATAGGTTATTCTTCTGGTACCTCACGGTGCAAAGATCAGTGTCCTGACATAGGAGGTCTTGCCTAGCTGAAGATCATCTGGGTGTCAGAACACCCCCGGACAGTGGAGTTCCTGCTTTTTTTAGCATCATTTTTTAAAAAGTCTGGGAAATTAGTACTTTTGTGTACTAATTGGTACTAACATTGTACTAAGTAGGAAAAGTAGAAGAATAGGTTGTGAAATGAAGCACCAGAAACTACAAAGTGTCACTATTTAAGAGTTACCTGGTGATTTGATTTGATGCTGTTATGCATATTCATTAGAATATTTTAAGAACAATTTGAGTCCAACTTTATTTATTCTCACTGTTCTTCAATGCAAGTATTTGCTTGAAGCTGTTCATCTCCACAGCGCTCAGTACCATAAGCAGTCATCAAAAGAGCAGCACTTGCTAGGTGTTTTAGCTTCATTTTACAGACGGGACAAACTTCTTCATAGCCAAGTGGCAAGTGCATCTGGCAAGGCAGGTTTAGAAGTTGGGATATCTTGGTACCTTTTTCCTTAATTCAAATGACTGTTTCTTCTGAGCCAGAGCAGTGCATAATATATACAGGGTGGAGATGAAATCCCATCTCTACAGAAATTAATATAACTCAGACATTATGGTGCAGATACATATCCTTAAGGTCTAAGTTATTCAGTTCACCAAACCAAATTGCTTACAAATTGGCAAACTAACAAATATCAGCATTTATCAAAATTAAATCCATATGTCCTTCAAGTCCATGTATCATCAACTACTTCCAGATGTAAATAGCCACAGATAGTCTTAAGGAACCTCAGTCCCACAGTCAGTTTCCATCATGGTTCTCAAAATCAGTGCTGTTCACAAGCGATATACAACAGTATTTGGTCTCCTCAGGAAACAATACTTGTTGCTTTCCTTAGGGCCAGGTATCCTGTAACCACATCTGAAGGGAGCATCCGAATATAGGCAAATTCTTCGATAGTACTAAATCTTAGCTTGCTCTGGGGATCTGTGTAATTTGCCTGAAAAAGAAACAATGGCAGAGATGCTATTCAAAGAACATCTCGAAATAGAATACTAAAAAAAGTGTCTAATTACAATACCACAAAATAGTGAATTCTTTCTCCCAGTAACAGCATTGCTGTTCTACCACGTGGCCAAAAGTTTGTACTGTTTTCTTTCTCTTCATGTTAGAACTTACTTATGAGAAGTTAACAGACTCCTATAAAATCACATTAGAAATGCATTAAACGTAACAGAGGGCTGAAATAGTTTCATACAAAACACAGTGCAAAAGAAATTCCTCAACTCTCTGAACTCACCCTAGCAACTCTGTGCCTTGTGCAGTCTCTCACAAGGCAGCTCTCCAAAGAGTCAGGCTGCTGCCAATAAATTACCCACAAAGAGGCTGAATTATGGGTGCTCTGATAGCTTTGGACTGATTTTCTCTTCCTGCATACAACTTAGCTTTTAATTTACTTTAAAGTGGTTGTTAAAGCAAGGGTGTCTCAGCTTATGGTTCTGTGACTGAACCGATAAGAAATTTGAACTTGGCGTGGTGCTTTGCTGCAGGCGCCTGCCTTCAGGATAGGAGCCTGGCCAGCTAACCCTGGGCTATGCTTGTATCCTCTGCTATATTTGGACCCTGGGCGCGGTGCCAGTCTCCTTCCATCCTCTCCCCTGCCCTGCTGCTACAGAAACCTTGAGCTCAGATGAGCTTGGGGGCAGCACAGGAGGCTGGGCTGGAAGCAGGCAGGATTCAGGGTATCCCCTCTCCACCTTCAGCCGCCAGGACAGTCACCACCTGCTCAGCAGTGAATTACCCAGCGCCTGTCAAGGCTCGGGAAGCATCTTCTGTACCTTTCTTTAACAGGAGATGGTGGCAGGCTGCAAGGCACAGGCAGGTGAGGATCTCTTAAGACACTGCTGCTAAAAAATAAAAAGGCCAGGAAGAGCTGGAGCGTTCCCCCCCCAACCATACTGTTGAAGTGCAGAGCCCTCTATCATTTTTGTGTTGGAAAGGATCTGTTGACCATGGTAACAATCCAGTTAATCGTCTGTCCTGATAAGACTTAGCAGAAAATTAAGTGTTATTTGTAGCTTGTTTCTTTAGAAAGAAATGTGACACGGTTAACTAAATGCTGCCAGCTAACAGTCAAACCATCGATTCATTTTCAAACAAATTGCAAAGAAGTTAAGACATTAGGAGTAAATTATCCCTGGTGGTACCTTCATAGTTAGAGCAGGTATAAATTTATTTTTATTTCACACTTTAAATCTGGCTTTGTGTATCTAAGAAAAAGCTAACCAAGTAGACTGCTTTTCAAATGTGCATGCTTCTGTAATGGACTAGCCAAGCAATACCTGCAATTTGTGTGGCGCGCCAATCTAGGTTAAAAATATTATGGCTATATGGTTATTATGGCAATCTAGGTTAAATTAAGGCAATCTAGGTTAAAAATATCTAGGTTAAAAATATTAAAAATATTATTCCTGTACTTCGTATGGGGATGTACTGTTTACACATGCTAATGTATGGTAACTAGTCATTTATGCCATGACTTCCTTCTGAAAACAAGCTTCAGCAATAATTAAACCAGATTAGAAAAGTGAAGTAAGGTGGTTTCGCAAAGAAAAAACTCTGTCATGTTTAGAAAATAAGTCAAAGGCCAGACATACATGCTCTTCACATGCAATAAATTAGTTATCTCAATCTGTTTCTATAGTAACAAAGCTGGTCCATTTTCAGAAAAGGAAGAGAAATATAAACATTTGAAGGTTTGGTTTGTTTTTTTTAAACAAATTACTTTGTTTTGCATGTTAAAATATCTAAACACTCATCTTGCAAGTTTGGAAATAAAGTTTTATTTTGCAGTGTCAATATAGTAGATAATAGCTAGGCTGCCTGACAAATATAAATTGGCTGCTCTGCTTAGACCATTGGTAAATTTAATTCCATTTGTGTTCCACACAGAAAGAGAAGAGGAACAGTAGAATTTAATTGTGGCATTTAATATAACTGCAGGTATACTGATGAGATTGTTTTAATATACTTCTCTTTTTTGTACCTGCTAGACCATTTAATTCTTCCCTAAATGGGTAATGCTAAGGAATTCATTTTGCTTTTTTTTCCATGGGGAATCCATGGGGAATTCCCATAGAAAATATATTCTTGCACAAATGCTTTCAGATTTTACACAGAAAATACAGGGAGATTTTTCTTATACTAGATTTCTAAAATATTCTATTACCCCACATATCTTCCTACTAGGAAATGATCTTGAAAATAAATTTAGTGCTTCTTATGAAACATTTCTGGCTTAGCAATTTAAAGGAAACACTCTCTCAGTTATCTTAATAGAAAGGATTTTTTTAAACCTGGTATTTTTATCATAGTCTGGAGAAACCTTGCAGGCCAGGTAAAATAGGAAACTTGACTCACAATGCAATTAGAGGAGGCAAGATTAAGGGGAAAAAAAAAAGTGGAAAGACAAAAAAAAAGGAAACAAAAGCAGCACTGAATGGATTCATATAGAAAGGGGAATATTTATACTGAGCTAGCATAGTTTAAGTACATAAATCGCTGATGGAAAGGAGGAGCTGGTACAGAAAAACTGAGGAACTGAAAGACTCTTATTTCCTATGGCTAAACTGACCCTTAACTGGTAGGGACACGGTCTTCACTCACATCTATAACCTGCATCAGCATCTCGCTGTAAGTGCAACTTGTTTTGAAATGCATCAAAGGCCAGTGCCGGAAAGCATTATTTGGTTCCCTGGAGATGGGGCAGTGAAAGGGACTTACGCCCTTAAGCCATAAGCCCCTCATAGGTCAGAGATGTTGCTGCAATGCTATTAACACCTGGTGTGAATGCTACTGATACTTGCAAAGCAAATCTCAGGGGAGAGGATAGGAAACAGATGAACACTATTAAGTGACCCAGTATAAATTTTCTGTTATTTTGGTAAATCTGCTCATTATTATTTCACATGTCCACGTATCCCCCCTTCCTTCATCAACTGCATCTTTATATAAAGTAGGGGAACTTATGCAAAGTTCCTCATTCAACTGACCCCTGCTTCTTGTCTGAAAACAAGTTGCTGTTCGATCAAAACATAACTCTTGTGAGTACAAGACTGTAAGTCTGCCTGGCTGGAGGGAATTATTTTCCCTGGGCTTGTGAGTGGTCTCCTCCATTTGCTGTCTGCCAGATGATCTGCAAGGGAGATGTTGCTTTCCCGTTCCCTCTTGAACACCAAGGGTTACCAGCCTCAATCCGAGCAACCCACTCCATTTCCAAATCATGCTGAAAGGCACAGGCTGGAAACATGCCACCTCCTAGGTGCCTTACTTAAATGTGTTACTTAAAAAATAAAAAAGTCAAAGAAAACATACACTGCCAAATCCAGAACTCAGCTGGTAGGATGAGCAGGATTACAGCTGGCACTATAGCTATTCTTTGATCCCTTGTACAGTGTATCCCCTATAAGGCAAATCTTTAATTAAGTGCTCACCCATTTTTTTTTCCCCAACGGGGACCTTGAGCTAATTCAGTGTACAGAATGCAAGGTGCTGTGTTAACCTGCATCAACATAATAAATGTGTATATTTACAGGCATCTCTGTGAGGTGATACCAACCCTGTGAGGTGAGCTAGTACCCTATGGATGACAGATTAAACTGGGGGAGGGGACCCAGAAATTCTGTCTAAGGCTATATGACATTACAAAGTTTTCATTATTGTAGTTATTTAGTGTAACCATTACTTAACCCTTTTCCTAGTCCAAAATATAACATTCCCATTCATTTAAATTTTAATAAATGCATAGGCTTCTACAAAATAAATCACTGGGGGCTGAAGGTAAAAAGTCAAAAGATGTGCTATGTTACTAACACCTGTTTCACTGTAAGTAAAATTATTCATGTCACACAGGAGCAGTGTCAACAGCAGATACAAAATTTTTGTTGGGCAGAATTCAATGACTTTACTCCTGTTTTGTGCCAACAGAATCTTTGGGGAATTCAGGTGCCAAAATGTAACTACTGAGAGTTTTTGGAGCATGTGCAAACTGTATCTATGTCAAATTAGGTTTTTTTTTTCTTTTTCTTTTTTCTTTAACAAAACCATGTAAAAGAGCCCATCTGTGACACACAGGCTATACATCTGCCAAACTCCAAGTTCCGGCTCTGAAGCATGGGGGTATCTGAAATTCTCAAAAGTCCGTGCCAAATGTCTGTCTCAGGCTGATTTGTTTGAGGGAAAGTTTGAGAGTAATGATGACAAGTTGTTTTGTTTTTTTTTTTAACCTGGGCCAATCAATATAATTTTTTCTAATCTCATTCTTGGAAATTGCTGAGCCATTTTTTTGAAACTTTCTCTAAAAGATATAATGAAATAAATCAGCCTCAGGCAAACACTCAGCACGGAAAGTTCCAGTCTGTGCGGTTAAAGCTTGGCAAAGTTAGGAGTCACAGAGACCGTGGGCCACGAGCTTTTGCTATAACAATCAAAAGAATCAGAAATGATGGGGACCAATGCAGACTTTACAGCTGGAAGAGTGGTGTGATAGGAGCCACCTGGCAGGACAAGGTATTTAATCTGTCCAGACATCTATTAACAACCTAGAGGATTTTGTGATGTAGTCACAGTATTCGGGCTTTGGCCCTTAATTACTGGACAACTATTAAGCGCAAGGCTGAACAGGAACCTCAGCAAGTACAGCTTTTACAAAAGCACACATCAGGTTGCTTTCACTGTGGAAAGTTAGATGTCAATTTTGAAGAGAAAAATAAAATACTTACTGGAAGTCCCGAAATGTCTGAATATTTCTTGGCAGGCTTAAAGGAAGGAGGAGCATCAATATTAAAATCTAGAGAAAAACAAGGGGATAAATTCAGTGTGCTATATATATTTGAAAATGCAAGCCCAAAATGTAAATAGGTAACAATACCTCTTTAAAATGCCGCCTTTGTTTTCTGAGGTCTCTATTAACTAGCAGCACTAAGACAAAGAAATATGAAGCAGAATTACCTCTGAAAACATTTAGCCTGTTAGCACTGTAAACAACAGCCTGATTTTGCTCACCTCTCTAAATAAGAGTTCAGTAAGCAGAACTGCCCTGCCCAAAAGGAAAAATGCAAGAGGGCTGTTTGAAATGGGTTGATTTCTTCCAAGTCTTAATGAATTCCCTTGCAGTCAGTTACTTGCAAAGAATAGTCATTATCATATGCATGGTGTCTGTTAAGACCACGAAACATTGCTCAAGATTGCAGCTCTGAAATACTATAATCCAGAAAAAGCAATGTAATCTTTTAAATCAGTTAAATCTTTAAGCATGTACCACTTTAAGCCCAGTCAATGACCTAGAAAATTGTATGAATGTTTAAATTAAATGATGGAAATTGCTGTTCTTTGGTGCCCTTTAGATAGCAGCTCTCATTCATAAACATTTTTAACATACAGATGGTATGTTTAAGTAGTTAAATCCCCAATTTTGGATGTTTACAAAAATATCTTGTACCTGACTCATTTCTTTCCTCCTCCCTGATGTCCCTCGCACCTCATTCAGATGCTATGATCAGTTCAAATACTCCATGCATATCAAATTTCTAACTCGTCATATCTCATAATGCAGAAGACACTAATGCCACAGAGAGCTGGTTTTAAATATGCAACTGAATTTCTTTTCCCACCTTCTTAAAAAAAGCCTGTAAATTTACTGTTGCAAATGGAACGTAATAGAAGTAGCAACATCAGCAGATTGTCAGTTACAATAGCCAGGAACACACAGTAGTCTGTGTTTTTCTCTAACGGTTGCATCTAAAACACTTTAAAAAAATGGCAAGCTATTTTTGGGTAAAACATCAAGTCTGACGAAAAGTATATGCATATGCTCAACTCTGAGATGCCTCCACTTGCTTAAGTAAAATCTGAGAATCACATTCTGTCTCTGGCTACATTCAATAGTATCCTACTTTACGAGTAGACTTGAAGCATATCTAGATTAAGACTGCTGCCGTAACTCTGCTCCTGCAGATGAACACCAGCTAGATGTAATCAGGACTGCTAATAGTGTAGTTTCAGCTGTGCTGAACTAAATAGGGGATGTAGGATTTAAATCTCCCAAGACTCTAGGCTAAGGAGCCAGATAGGAAGCTTGGGCTGGGGTCTAAGCTACTGCAGGTACACGGCTTAGCAGAATCTGTTTGAAAATAGTTCAAATACAGCTAATCAAGTAGCAGCCACCTGTCAGAAGACACTTGGGCTGCATGCGGAGGAAGAGGCTCCTCAGCAGTGAAGAGGTGATGAAAACCTGATGGGAATAAGGAGTTTCTGACCTAGTTCGGATATATACGTTTCCTTTATTAAACTCTATCCCCAAATGTATTTGAACTTTCTCACAATACGCTGAATTATTTGCTTCCCCCTAGTTTCCACTTAGGGCCAGCAAGTGTGGTTGGGCCAGTCTTAAATGTACCACTGGACCCTGTTCGAGCAGGATACTGTGTGCACCGATGAAATAATTTAGGTTTGTTTTAAAGAAAGGTATTTGTGTGGATTTTATTATATATAAATACATGCAAAGTGTCTAAGCAGCTTACAGCTAGGATCATTTAGTTGCCATGGCAATGCCCTTTCAGAAGCAAGAATTTGTTTTAGGTTCTTCCAAGTTCTGTTCTTCTTGCCAGCTGCTGCTCCACCAATGCCGGAGTGCTAGAAATAAAGATATGGTGTTTAGAGAAAAAATAAATAAAGAGTACTATTTCAGAGCATGACACTTCTATTTCATAGTCTTTCTGATATGTCTCATCCTGTCATGAACCATTTGTTATCCTCACTTATTTCATCAGCAGGCTAATATACTGTACACTTTAATCTTGGCTGCAAGAAAAACAAAGCTTTTTGGACTGTGTCAAAGCTACTATGTTTAGGATTAACTGAAGGAAATGAAAATCTGCCTTTTACATGGAAATAGAAAATCAATGTGGTTAGGTTTAGCCTGAGATTACAGGATTCTGTATGTACTTCCCATCGTATTAGAACTTATTACTATGAAGTTGTGTCGAAAATTGTGATTACACAGCTAAATTTTCTCTCTCCTTTTTATGGCGTATTACAGGTGCAGCTCTAGCTCCTGTAAATTACCCTTGACTGTAGAAAACACAACTGATCTTGCAAAATGTAATGAATGCTATGAGAAACTTTCTGGAAATTTTATTTCTCTTTCAAAGATAGAAGACAGAAGAATAGAAAAAGAGTAATAAATAGAGTGTTGGCTGCCAAGGCAATTTTGCATTTTGAAAGGTACACTAATGGAAGGCTTGCCACCGGTACTATAATGGTAGTTTCAGTTATCAAATGTGACTGCTACAGAGTAATTTATTTATGTCCCTCCAGAGACAGAAGCTGCACACCATACTGTACTACTTCTAAATGATCAAAGGACACAGATTTGCAGCTTTACTTCAGAAAAGAAAATGTTCTTATAATTGGGGAGTTGTTGTTACTTCTGTTAATAACTACTACCTGCCAAATCAGTCTCATAAAAATTCAGCAAAGTTCTGCAAACACACTTCTGCTGTGATTGGTCTATAAATTAGCCTGTTAAATTGCTGAGAATGATAGGAAGAAAGATTCAATGAGAAAGCTTTTTTCCGTAGACATAAAATATATTCAGAAAAGATGCTCATGTGCTGATGATATATAGCATTTTGGCAATGGATATCCAATATAGAAAGTACATGCAAATGTTTGCTCTGAGAGCAACACCTTAGTAATCTAGAGATCATTGTAAAATAGAGATTGCTGGAATATGAGATGAAAATAGATGTACTACCACATTAGTAATTCAAATTAATTACATGAATTTTCCCCCAAATCATTGCATAATGATTTTTTTTTTCCAGTAATCTGGTTTCTCAAAAGCAACTATTGGGTTTATGTGAACTTATGCCTCCTAGGAATGGGGCTGAGTATCAGCTCGTATCCCTGCAACCAAAAGGCAATGGCTGCCAAGCACAAATGAACCAAGCTGCCTCTGCACTCATGAAGTTCAGGAAAAGCTGGAGCTAGGGCAGGTGGAGCTATTCATGGCTCTCACAGTTGTCAGAAGGTCGTCTTCCCCTTCCTCATTGCCAAGGGATGCAAATTCCATTCAGGAAGTTTCGAAAAGGTAATTTCTTCCTTCTTCTCTGCTTTTAAGTCTGTCCTCTGCAGTGAGCTAACGGTTCAGATCTGAGGATGTTTATGACAGGCATTAATTGATTTATTTTCATCCTTTTAAGGTAAATTGGGCTGGAAGGATGCAAAAAGTCATCCAAACTGTTGCTACCAGTTCATACCGACAAAAAGCTAGTCAAAACTCAATACATTTCTTCTCAAATTCATTACTGTCTCGGGGAGGACAATTTCATGTTTCTATTATAATCGCCTATTATTTCTGCAGCAGTTGCCAAAGGCCCTGTACATTCATTATTATTTCAAGCATGCAGACATTAGTATTGCCTCTTTGGAAATGGTGATGTCCCTCCAAGAACTGAAGGATCAGCACAGGGCCTCATGGTTATTTAAATCCTATATGGAAGCTTCATGGAATGCCTCTGGGCGCAAAGGGAGCTTTTCCAGTCAGCCCCATTTCTCAAAGATGCTGGTGCTCACTGGAGGGTTAGAGTGAGAAAAGTCTACGGTCATTTGAATGCCCCTCTTGCGACAGAAGTCATCTGCAAAGCAGACATAGAGCAACTTGCAAATCAGAGATTAATTCTATACCCCCTGCCAAACCTATGCTTTGTGAGCTGCGCGATAACCGATTGCTCAGGTTTTATGCTGTGGGATATTGTATCTTATACAGAATGAAATCTGGGATAAAATCCTTCTTTCTAAGTACTGGCTTAGGACCAGCTGTCTGAGAAGTTTGCTTGTCTAGAAAGCATTTGTACAGTGTGCCAAGGAGTTGGCCCTGGCACAGCAAGATAAAAAGATATTAAAAACAAACCCAGCAGTGACAGCATTACTAGCTGTAGTCTTCCCTCTCCCTCAATTTAAACCTCATGGAGCATTTGCTTCTAAATCTAGCAATTACTGGAAGAACAGACACCACGAGTCTGTTAGAGTTTCAGGGATGGGAGAGGAGCAAAATGCCAGTTGCTAATGACTCTCTGGCTGATTTCTAGTTCAATTGTTTTGCTGTCTTGGCTAGGAACTGGGAGATGGGACTCCTACATTCACAGTGGTATAAATGATTCCTCTCTAGATGTGGTAGTTTGTGAGATACCACACCACAAAACTTCTGCACTTACATTAATCTAGCAGGTTTTCTGACTCTGTTCCAGAATTTGATATAATAGTTCTGCCTCTGGACCGATGCCATTTTCATGCTATAATATAGTGTGCACTTTGGACCATAGTGTGGCATGGACTTGAGGTGAATTTCTTAAAAATCACCGACCTTTTATTTGGCTGTTAAGCTGACTTTCTTAATATTTACATTAGCAATATGGTTAAATAGAATCCTAGTCCATGTTTTATTTGAAGAGTTTAGAATTTCAAATTATTAAAATAATATACTTACGATGAAGTTTGGATCTTTAAATGGTAACGGCTTGACAGTTGTTTCTGCTGATCCTGAGCTGGAGTCTGTGTTCAGAAATTTGTTTTCATTCATGGCCTCTCCACCTGCACCCTGAAGAAAAAATACGATCTTACTGCTTGTTACTCTGAGCAAGATTAACCAAAGACAGAGCCGTCTGCTGTATCACCTACCTGTTGCCTTTTTAGCCTTTCTATCTCTTTTGAATCTTTAAAGATGTTGCGTGCCAGCAGTGGGGAAGCATGAGATAGAGCATTTGTCAAGCAATTTCCAGCTGACACATAAAGGGGAGGAGGGGAACAGAGCGAACAAAGCCTACTGAGTAAAACCAGCATTGGGTTTATTTCAGTCTTAATGAAAGCCATCTCTATAAAGTGCAAGACAGCATATGAAACCAGAAGCAGCAGAAATGTACGTTGGATTTGTTTCAGAATGTTCAGTGTTACAGCATTAACAGGAATATATAAAATTTATAATTTTTTTTTCTCAAGGTTGTAAAGAATAATTAAGCAGTTTCTTCTCTATATCTGGCTTCAATCATGCCTGAGTAAGGACTGAGGGGAAAAAAAGATTTTATTATCTGTATTATTTTTATATACAAGCCTCGCAAAATCTACATTGGTACTAGTTGGGTGTTTTCTAGGCTTCTCTTTATGGTTTATTTATTTCAGGAAGAGCAGTTGGAGAAGGTGTGTGTGTGATTGGAAAGCTAAAATGTTGTGTGGCGGTCTAAACAATTTCTGATAGTTCTGCATGGCCGACTCTATGTTGTTTTTTATTTTGCGAGTGCTCCGTAAGTCTCCACACTACCAGAACTAGCCCACGCTACATACATAAATGTTCCTCGCGAAATCCTGATCCATGCTGAAACCAATGAGAATTTTGCCATTAAGTCTGGCAGTTCAATCAATAGAATTTCATACCTTGGTTCTTTTTCTTGAAGAACAAAAAGCTTGGCTAAAAGCTAAATCAATATTTACTGAACGGGTGGTTAAAATGTTTCTTTACCTTCAGACAGATAATACTCAGAACAAAAAAATGTTTTCCTGTGAAACATGCACTGCGAAGCCTTCTGTGTTGGTTTAAGTAGGAGAAAAAAGGATCATTATTATTAGCAACTTATGGGAGTACCTCTAGAAACAGACTACATAGAAAAGGTCATGAATCAGCATATCCTTCTCCATGTGATTACAAGGGAAGTGTTGGTATTCTTAACTACATGCATAAGTAATTACAGGATTAGGAACTAGGCAAGTTGAACTCTTCTTTGGGGAAATACATCAGCAATTCAACAGCGCCTGTTTTTAACAGCAAAGAGAGGTCTTAGATATTCAAAGGATGATATAAAGAAGCATTCAAGTAAAATAGTCACGTTTCTAGTGTCTTATTAAAATATATGAATAGAGATAATCTATTTTCAAAACCACAGTCAGTGCTCTGTAAGCTCATAGTACCGGGGCTACTGCCATAATAACATCAGTGGAAGCGGCATTGAAGTCTGTAGCTAAAACTTGATTCTTCCCTTGCTGAGGACAACATTAAAAGACAGTGACTGTCACAGAAACAGAAGAAAAGCAGATGGATGTTCGGAAACATGTGCATTATGTGGCAGTGAGCAGAGAAAATGATATCTTCCGCAATCCCGAGTCAAGTAGCTTTATACAATGAGTTGCTAGGTTTCAAACTATATTCTTGCACATGCAAGCACTTCAGATTTCAGTGGCAAACCTTGAAGTCAATCTTGAGAAAGACCAGGCTCAAGATACAAGATTATTTTTGATTAATAAATTATCTCTGATACGGCTCATTATCAGTGTAAATTCTGTCAGTGGAGGAATCAGCACTCACATTTATTCTTCAAAGTGTTCTCGCCTTTTATTTGGTACCGTTTCGTCGGTTTTAAATCCAATCCTACAGTTCTTTATTAATTACTTTATCACTTTTGCCCCTTCAGTGATCTCCTAAGTATTCTGTTGTTTATGAAACAGGTTTTGAGTAGCATTTCAACAATATCTCAAAACAGAATCTAGTGTTTTGAGACGGAGCAAATAAAAATGGTTTATCAGTAAAGGTGAAGAAGCTTCCTTATACATATAGTCCTTAATTTCTGCAGCTGGGTACAATTACATAGTACACTCACTGTCGTCAGTGGGTTTTTCTGTGCGGATTCAGTGCTAATCTTGCTGGCGCATTGGGAAGGAAAGTAAGGAACTGTTCCTGGCAGGACAATTCCTGAATGTAAATTCTACACGTTGTTTCTTTTCCGGACCAACCCCTAAGGAATTTCAGGTATTAGTGCTGCTAAGAGTCAGGATAACTCACGTTACAGGCCAGATGTTAATTTTGTTAGTGCTAGTATCCCTTGCACAGTGGCAGAGGCAGCAGGATCCGAAGCAGCAGCTGCTGCTTTTCCAGGCCAGTGTGGACTCCCAAGCCATGCTCTGGTCCCACCAGGACGCAACACCAGCAGGAGCTTCTGGATCTGTCATGGACAATGTGAGAGCAGTGGTTTCCCCTCCAAAACAGAGGGTGCAGCCCAGTGTGCAGGACTGTAAAGCAGCTTGCATACCATAGCGGTACGCAATTGATACCATGATTTCAGAGCCCTGTGACAGAGTGGGAAGCAAACAGGAGTTCTCAGTGCTATGATCCCAGTTAAATGCTGGCAACTGAGATAAAGACATATTGTAGAGGCATGCCAGTTCCCTCACTCAGCATTGCTCCTATGAAAATTCTGAATTTTAGCAGTAGCACTATGGAAGAGAGGTACTCAGCTAGTGCGCTTTTCTTTCTGGAAAACATTAAAGAGTTGAGCACTGCTTCCAGAATAACGTCCTACTGCACAGAGGAGTGAACTCCGGCAAGTACAGAGCTTTGAAATGCTCTTTCCGTGCAGCCTGCAGAAGTCTCAGCTGACATCCTCAGCACTTTTTCAGCCACAAACTAAAAGTGTCTCAACAATCTGTCCAGCCTATGTTTTAAAATGCCAGGATTTACAGTGTAAGAAACATCATTTAATGTTTCAGGTTTGTTTTTTGAAAGTCTTTTTAAAGGCGGGGGGGAAATGCCAAATGAATTTTAGCCAATACGGATCTACCTTTGTACTGCAAAACCCATGCTTCCTGGAAGTGAATAATGCAGTGGTGATACAACACGTTATTTACAGCCTGAAAGAAGATTCCTCAGTGAACAATTACTGTACACTAAAGGTAATCTTTAACAGTAGTTGAACGAATCTCCCCCAAACGTGCTTGTTTGCTTGGTCGTTTCGTCTGGGAGATAGTCCGTTCTTCACTGTCAGGTGCTGGGGCAAACAAACAGGAAGGAATTCGCATCCCCCCTGTAGTCCTGCGACGCGATGGCGGTCGCCTCAGCGCCGTGAGGAAGCGCCTGTCACCAGGGACCATGTACTGCTCGATGCGTGCTGTAACCCAAAGTCACGTGTGGGGTAACTTCCCCTTCCTGTCAAATTCACAACCAGTCCACAGCACATTTTCTCTACCCAGCCAGTCTCTTAGCTAACTCCCTCACCCCCAGCATCCCGGGATAATCCCACATGCTTTGCAGCAGGGCTAGACAGAAAACGTAATTATGGGCTGAAACTCTCGCTAGCTTCTTTAAAGCTTCTTTTTAACTGATTGTGTGATGTAAACATCCTTTATGGGGAGCTCAATGAACACTTCAAGGAGAGAGAGAGAGTGAAGCAGATTTTAATGTGTGCTTTTTTGTGTCTTTTAAACAGTGGTTTCCATAGCTAGGGCTACGGAGAATTTGTGCTAGAACAGTCACCAAGCAGACTATATTCCTCCATAGGCTGCTGAAGATTATAACAACAGCGATTTTGGAGTGGCTTTACATTTATAGGGCACATCTGCACTGGCAAATGAAGGTGTGCTTTCAGTACAGCTGAACATGCTTACGCTAGCGTTACCCCAAATAACAATAAAAACACTACAGTAAAGACTGCAGCAAAATGATCCATAACTACGTTCATCCTTTCCCATCAACTCTTCCTCTGGCTGTTAACCTCCACAGAAGACCATGCTGCCACTGCTTCTCATGTCACCTCCCTCTGTCCTCCTCCTCCCAGTATCCTCCTCAGCCAGGCGCAAACCAACCTTCACTGGAACGGCATGTTTTAAAAAAGTTGTAGGCAGAGGGTCAAAGGCTTCTTATAAAACCACTTGTGCCATTTTAGTCCCTCTATAAAGTTGTGTTTATGTGCTTTAGCTGAATTTTAACAACCACCACAGTGTGCCGGGTCGGCAACCTCTATCCCTCCTGGGATAGATGGGAGCAATAGTGAGGGGTGCTGCTGCTTTTTTGCATTTCTTTTCACAGGACCACTATTGCGTATTCAGCACATCCCAGATGGGTGGGACACTGTCCTCCCTGACACGCACTAGGACTGGGTGACGGTCACCCAGGAGGAGGCCTGTTGAGGACTTCACTTGGTTAGGACACAGCAAAAATGCGCGAGAGAGCAAAGACCTGCAGCAAACACTTGGGAGTCCTAAGAGGCTTGTTTAAGGGCAGCCAAGTCTGGGGAAGAGACCTGAGCTAAGCTTTGCTACCTTAACACTGGTTTCTTTTGAATAAAGCCAAACCCCAGGAATGAGCCTAGTTTGGACCCTGCTGTATATGCTGTCTGTACTGGGAGAAAACACAAATTGGGAGGCTGCCTATTCACATACTACTTTCAGTCATGGGTTTTGGTAGATCTATTAATTTTTTCAACATATTCTGTTCCAAATTCCCTACCGCAGATATATTAGTTTTCACATGATTTCCAAAGATTGCTCCATCTGTCTGGTTTTATTTAGGGAGAGGACAAGCAAAACGTGTAGTCCATGGAAGCTAAATTCTTTGTTTTGGCTATTTCTAGGTAGAATCAGCATTGTGGGGTTTGGGATGGGTGTCTGTGATGGGACTAAATACCAGGTGGAATTAGCTTATTATGAAAGTGCTTGTCTGAATTGTCATTCTTCCACCCTCCAGCAAGGATTAAAACTGTGTAACAGAGTAACTGATAGATGCTTAAATATGATTTCTTACCTATTTACTTTTTGATTATAGTCTACAATATTTGTTCA